CCCCGTGGGCACTGAGATTTCCTGATAAACAAACACACTGGTATAACGTTTTTCAAAAGGCTTAAACTCCAAGAAAGGAAACACTAGGTTGGGTCCAACAGGTCCCAGAAACAGATGGGTTGGCCAGAAACCTTCTCCCATCCCATTCCCCCTTCCTTTCCCTGGCATGGGTCAATACCAACCCAACAGGCACCTAGGTGACAAAGGAGTGACAGGAGCATGAAGGTGCCAGCATAGGTGCCTGGAGAGAGACCTGCACGCACCTACCAAATGCTGGAGTTTGAGGCAGCGTGGCCGAGCCATGCCCAGCAGAGGCACCCACCTCCCCAGACAGCATTGCTGCATTCGCACAGGGCTTGTGCCAATGCACCCTTTGAGGTGCATGCAGACAGTAGCAAGGGCATTCAAGGACACCAGCAGGTTGTCCCTGCTCTTTACTTGAAGAGGAGACTGCCACGTGAATGACCTTGCTCCCAATGGGCCACCCATAAATAAAGCACTTTGCCAACAGCTTCACCATCAGCACTCACCAAGGGGCTGCTGCCGTTCGCTGGAGTCGTGCTGTCCATGGGCAGCTCCATCTTGCCCAGAGAGCCAAGTGAGAAGCAGCTTCCAGCCCATACTTTCCCAAAGATGTCCAGGGGCCAACCACAAAATGGAGATTTAGACCAAATCTTTAGAGCAAAACACATACGTTTGAGGGTGCTTGGCGTTTTATTGCTCACCCAGCCCTTGTTAGAGCTGCTAACGTAAAAGCCATTTTCATTGCAAAAGTAAGCCTCAACAGGAGGATTTGCTCCTAACCCAAGCCCTCACCATGCACAAAAGCCGTATCTCAGAGGGGGCTTGCTTTGCACACTCACTGCCCTGTTACGGGGACAGCCACAACCGGTGCTCGCCAATCTTTCCAGGTGCTACCACAGTCACCTCATGTGGCTCTAGAAAAACTGAGTTCACACTGCAGGCAGACAAGACCTTAGACATAAGATGCATCTGAAAGCACCCAAATAGCAGAGCTTAAAGGGTTGAGAACAAAGAAGAAATTATAAAAGTATCCAGGGAAGGAGTTAGAGGAGGAAACAGGTCTCGGTCAGTAACAGCGATATAGGATAGATGAGCTGGGGCTGGCTGGTGTGCCCGGTGCTGCCATCTCCCAGCAGCTCCATGCTGGGAAGCATCACCTAGTTGCAGTGGTTGCCCAAATGCAAACCAGCGAAGCAAGCATTGGGCCTGGCAGGCACCTCCCGCACGCCCGTGTCCAGCAAGAAACACCCCAGGAGAGAGGGTGCTCCTCGCTTCCTGCTGGCATAAATCAGAAGCAATTCCCTGTGGACCACAGAGCTAAAGGAGGGAACTGGGAGGAAGAGCAACCCTATCGTGTGCAAGCAACCAACCCAGTACTCAGCTGCTCTCAAAATAATCCTGAGTATAACTTCAGCATTTCTCAGCACCAGCCCCTTCCTCATGCTGCATTTTTTCTGGGTGCCTGGTTGATCTCGTTCCATCTTTACCCTCCTTGAGTATTGCCGGGGAAAGCTGAGCCCCAAACAACCTGGATAACATTTCATTACCGCCAGTCTGAAATATCTCAGGTGCTGTGGCGCGTGATACCACCACACAGATTTGCCTGTTAATATGCCGTCCAACCCAAATAAACTTTGGCTTCACTTGGGAGTTGATCTCTGAATTGAGGAGCTCTGCCGTTTCCCTGAGCAGCCGGCTCTCCCGCAGGAATTTAACCCTCCCTGGCCCGACTGCTCTCCTCCAACACAATGGTTTTGCTCAGGCAACACCAGGCATTTGTGCTCTTCAGTGTGATGTAAGGAGGAGCGGGATGGCTTTTCGTATCACTGGTCCTGGGATGAAAAGAGCCTTGACATCTCACATCCCCAGCTGGCTCACGGCCAGGTGGGGGGGCGCCGGCTAAACAAGCCGTGGCTATCAAAATGCTGCTGCTTTAAAAAGGCTCTTCGCTGGCTGCAGTCAAAGCCACGCTATGCCTAACGTCACCCAGTAACAGAAATAGCAGGCGTGAGTGAAGGGAGGAGAATGAGAGTACGAAGAGCGCACAGATTTCAAACATACTTGGCTGGGTAGCACACTCCCTTCCTGCCGCTGCCCTTCCAGATGCAACGGAGCACGGGGATCTCTCGCTGTCTGCCCATGAAGAAGGATTCTCTTTTTTTCTTTTTCCTTGGTTTGTTTTTTTTTTTTTCCTTTTTTAAGTTTCAGCTTTAATACTACTAGATTCATTTTTATCTTATTTCTCGTAGGAAACTTCATCTGCTGGATTTAAAAGCAAGGTTTGAGCAGGAGGAATTCATTTATGTTTGTAGCTACTGGAATGTGCATGGTACTCCTGTGTGATGATAATGTAGAGGGAAAGGCAGGATTGGCTCAGAAAATTACTTAGACCGTAAGATGCTTGAATGGCTGCTTGGAATAACAAGTTCTCTGTTGTGTGTGTGTGTCTGTGCATGTGTGCATTTATGTATGAGCGCAGCAATGACAGTAACTTTAAAACGATGCAAGGTTTCCCCAGTTTGCTTAATTTTCCTCCTCTGGGAGTGAGGACCTGCCTAGCTGTGGGCTCTGTCTGGAGACAGGTGAAGTGTCTGAATTGAATTAGCACTGTAGGAATTTCATAAATGAAGCAAAACGCAGGTTCAGTGGCAGAGGAGCAGAGCGGGGAGATGCGGTGTGCTGAGCTCTCTCCGGCGGGAGCTGTCACACCAGGGAACTGCACAGACGTGCACAGGCACGGCACAGAGCTGCTACAAGTGCCCGGAGCACAAAGTGAGGCAGCTGCAAGAAGGCAGCATCTGGCCCATGGAAACATGCTCCTGAAAATGAGCTATCACGAATCCAACTGAGCTTGATAGCTGCGTGTGTAACCAGCTCTGGGTTGAGCTGGAGCATCCCATGCCGAGCCATTTGTTTCCGATCAAGCATGCTGGCAATCATAAGGCAGAGGAGCAGGCAGAGCTCCCTGAGCATCCGTGCCTCCTTCACGCGTGACAATTTTGCTGCCAGCACAGCTCATACATGAACATAAATAAAGGGGACGACGAGGGAGCAAGTCGGCGCGTGGACAGGCTGGCTACACATGCCCAAAGGCAAGCAGGAGGAGATGGCACAGCACGGCAGGGCAGGGAGGAGGTAGATTTGGAGTTGCAAGGTCCAAGAAAGCCAAGATGCTGGTGAAGCTACTGGAGACCAGCCCAGAGGAACAACGTCCCAAAGGAGCACTGACCACTGGAGGACCACACTTCATATCTCCCCCTCGGATGTCTGTACCCAAGGAACTCGGGTGGGAGGTGGGCTCTGTGTATTGTGGGTTTTGTCTTTTTTTTTTTTTTTTTTTTTTTGCACACCTATCCCAGTTGATAAGCAAGGACAGATCTCCCTCAGTCCTGGATTGCTCTTTTTTATGCGGAGTTTTTGCATGCCATCTCCACAGCACCCAGCACCCACAGCAGGTTGTAATGGAAAGAAAAGAAGATGAGGGCAAGCGACCAAGGGGATGGACATTGTCCATCCTCAAGTGCTACAGAGGTCACTGTCGGGGTTTTTGACACAAGGGCAGGGGAGGAGAGCCTGGAGCTGTAATCCTGCTGCCAAGGAGCAAATGGGAGGAGAGAGGCAAAGGAGTCAGAGCTGGTGTAGAGGCAAAGGGACACTGAACTCACTGGGAAAAGCTGCAAAACTTGGCAAATTCCCAGGATAAAACAAACCCAGCCTGCCCAGTGGAATGAGGCAGAGGGAAGCCTTTGCCTGCTGGGCCCCGCAAAGACAAGGCGGTCCAGCCCCTCCTCTCACAGTGTTTTCCAAACAAAGAGGCAATCTGAGCCCCGTAAAATCACAGCGCAAATGGACTTCTGCATGCAGTGGCCTTTAGGCTGGTGCAGGCTTCTAGTATAACTTAAAATTGGGGCATTTTAGCTACTTCTTCAGTATTTCTCTCAGGTAGGTGTGATCTCCCTTTGCCTACACCCAGAGCCAGTATAAATTCAAAGCAACACAGTCATGATTTGTGTAGCATGGGGCTTGAGCAAACCAAAAGCTCCCACATAGGAAGAGTGATCGCTGCCTAACGCTGCAGAGCCATCTCCCACCTCGCTGCGTAAGGCTGGTCAGGCAGGTCCATAGACGGGTCTGTCTGAAATATATCTACGGATGGACACATGAAAATCTATGGGATCACACTTGGCAGAGAGCATGAAAAAAACCTTGTGTTTACAGATATATAAAACCAACAGTGCAACCAACTTGCTCTGTAGATAGAAAATGCATTTTTTTCTCCTTCACTCAACTACGGTTTGAAACTGCAGGTCAGGACATAGCAGGAACTTCCCATTCAAGGAAAAGTTGCTCTGGGAAAACACTGCAGAAGTGCTGGATGGGACTTCGAGTGTATCACTTCCGCAAAATAGACAGCAGCTTGCCTGCAAGCAGTAAATCCCAAGTTTATTTTCCCTTTTTTGGGGCCTTGCACTCCTTCAGAGTTAAGAGCTTAGCAAAGAGGTTTAAGCAATCATGCTGACAGGTCTGTAAGTCACTCTTATGAATTTAGGAAGGACGCATCTTTTCCCCAACCCCAAACTAACTTTAAGGATTGCAGCAAGTGGTTCCAATGATCCACACAATCTCTTCCACGGACACACTACGAAATGTCATTCCACAAAGCTGTGTTCTTGTAATGATGGCACGAACCTTACACGTGAGCGACCTCAGTGCACAAGACACGTGCACACAGACAGTGCAGATACATACTCAGGGACAGGTAATTTCTAAATGATAATTTGTGTTGCCCTGGCAAATTTCTAATATGTTGGTTTCTGACATCTTTCCTCTAGCAGAGAATGCAGATCTTCCTTGGATGAGACCCTGCTAAGAAATGGTTCACCATCTCCCAGCAGCTGCATTCCTCAGAGGAGAAAGAACAGATCTTCAGACCCCAGTGGCATAAACGAAGCCTCTGGCATCAAAAGGCCAGGAGGATGTCCCTAACTGAGGAGCTGGAGAGCCACTTTTCTGCAACCCCCTACATGGTGACAGACACAAGCGAGGACAGCCTGTTCAGAATCAGACCCAACACCTCTGTCAATGCCACCGGGGACGGTGTGCCAGCCACCAGTTCCATGGAGGACATGATTGCCATTTGCACCATTGGGACAATCCTCTCCCTCATGTGCGTGATTGGGGTGACAGGCAATGTCTACACCTTGCTGGTGATGTGCCATTACTTGCGATCATCTGCCTCCATGTATATTTACATCATCAACCTCGCACTGGCGGACCTGCTCTACCTTCTCACCATCCCTTTCATCGTTGGGACCTACTTCATTCAGAAATGGTACTTTGGGGACATCGGCTGTCGCATCCTGTTCAGTCTGGACTTCCTCACTATGCACGCCAGCATCTTCACCCTCACCGTCATGAGCACAGAGCGTTACTTTGCTGTGCTGAAGCCCCTGGACACAGTGAAGAGGTCCAAGAGTTACCGAAAGGCCATTGCTGTTATCATCTGGCTGGTGTCACTGCTGCTCACTCTCCCAATGCTCATCATGATCCAGCTGGTGCAAAGGGACAACAAAAGCATCTGCCTGCCCACTTGGAGCAAGCTGTCCTACAAAGTCTATCTCACCATCCTTTTTGGTACCAGCATCGTGGGTCCAGGGGTAATCATAGGCTACCTTTACATCCGATTAGCTAAGATTTACTGGGTCTCGCAAACAGCATCCTTCAAGCAGACCAAGCGGCTGCCGAATCAAAAGGTGCTCTATTTAATCTTCACGATAGTGCTGGTGTTCTGGGCTTGCTTCTTGCCTTTCTGGATATGGCAGCTCCTCTTCCAGTATTATGAATCCTTCCCTTTATCTCCCAAGGTGATGAAGAACATTAATTATCTGACAACCTGCCTGACCTACAGCAACAGTTGTATCAACCCTTTCCTCTACACTCTGCTTACCAAAAACTACAGGGAGTACCTGAAGAACAGGCAGCGGTCCCTTAGCAGCAGCAGTGGGTACTTCCAACGGAGGAATCGGTTTCAGAGGATTTCAGGGAGATCCCTGTCCACGAGCAGCCAGCACTGCACAGAGACATATGTTCTTGCTCACGCTCCTTTGGGAAACAGCAGTGCCTGAAGGTAAAATATATCTCCAAGAACAATCAATATTGACTGCAATGTTGCTTTGATTTAAAGTGTACATCGTAAAGGCAAAGCCTTAGCAGATCCATAACGTGCACACATTTAGTCCAGAGGCTGTGCCGTATGTCTGTTCTCATTTTCTTCAGTGCCACTGATTTGATGCTAGCAACATTCAGCCGAACATCTATCTAAATAGCCTTTTGCTTTTTATCTTTATATTTTATAGTGTATGTCTCCTCAAGTAGCCATCAATAATGAAAGCCTATAACAGGGCCATGTTTTTCAATAGTATCAGCTGTCTCACAGAGTTTAAAATTATGTTATCCGGTGAATGGCTGTAGTTTGCTCTTTCTTTCCTTTAGCAGTAATGCTAAATTTGTAGTTGTATGAGGACTGAAAACAATGAAATAAAGACAACGCAGCTGGTGTTTGTGACATGCAATCCAGTTTGAATTTGGGGTAGGACTGGACAACGTGGATGAGGCATATCCAGGGGTGTTTGTCCTGGTTTTGGTCATACTCGCATTTATGCTACACCCATGTGTATGCACTAGGCTTGGTTCTTCATTCACACAGGTGTCTGTAGTGGAGTTACACCGTGGTTCGTGTTAGCAGGACAGGCGTCCTGTGACAGTGCCACAGTCAGGGAACACTCAGCATTCCCTAGTGGGCTGACCCCAAACACATGAAGACCTATGTGGGGGAGCATCATCTGTCCTGGACAAGTGTATCTGCCTCTGCCCTCCTCCAGGGAGGATTTGGGGACCTCTGATGTTGTTATTCTCAGGGCATCCATCAACAAACTGCAACACTCAGCCTGAGGGACCAGACCTACATCACCAAGTCCAGCAGGAAAGGACAGAGGGAGAGGAGGGGGCGTGAGGAGATGTGGTTTCTACGGACAAAGCTATGCTGTCTGGAACCCCTAATATTCTCAATTGTAAAAGCACTAGTTCCCTATTAGTGAGATCACTCGTTCCCTTCACAGGAGATTATTCTGTTTTACTGCTTCAAAAAGCGAATAAAGTCCTGCCTACACCAAGAACACTTGGCCTGTCCTGGCTTTCACCGATGACAAAGCATCATTAGTACAAATATATCCTCCATGATGTCTGGCACTTCTCCAATCAGTCTAAAAGTACCTTCTCTGGGATGCTGCCAACATCCCTACAGGAGTCCTCTGCTTGCATTAGCCCCGTTACCTCATTAGCAAGGATACGACGACATAATGCCAACACAACTCTAACCAAGTCACACAATTAGACGCAAATTAATGCTTAGGAGTAAATTCAGAACTGCGGTGTGATACGCCATTTGGCAGTGAACTCTGCTTGCTTGTACAGAACCTGAATTTAGGTTTTAACCATTTATTCCCCTTCAGGGCATTTAAATGGTTATTGCTCATGGGGACAGGGAAGGCTCTGCTTCCAGCCTCCCAGGGTGATATGCTCGGAAAAGAAATTGCCTCTTTCATGCATGGACTTAAAGTTTGTTATATATGGAGAAGACAGCACATTTCAGGAAAGAGGGCTCTCACGCATGCAGTTTTAACATTGACCTGTTGCAGAAACTGGAAGAGCATCGCTTTGTGTTCCCAACCACCTCCAAACACACCATCCACTGTGGTCCGGCAGGTCAGGGTGCCTGCACCCTCCTTGCAGTGCAATACATTGATCAGCAAGTCCTACTTCAGGATTAGGCTCTTCCTGGTTTCAGAGGGGAAGAAATACCATTATATTTGGTTATTTCCTACACTGACAGTACTTCTTAGTTTTCAGACCCTCCTCAGGCTGGAGACACACTCATCAAAGCCCATTTGAGAGAGTAAAACATCATTCACCCTACTGTAAGGAAGAGGGAGCCCACAGATGGGAGGTGAAGAGGTTTGCCATGTTTATGAACCCATTTTCCACTTATATAGTCAGGTGTTTATCATGGGTCAGAATGTAAAATTTGGCCTCCTTTTTTTGGAAATTGCAATTTTAACTTCTCCTTGCTCAGAAATAGCCAGACAACCTCAAGACAAGCTCAGCACTAGCAGTTTCTATCGTTGTGAAGGAAAGCTACTGCGGGTTGAGCCTTTAGAAAGCAGTCCATCTTTTCTAAAAATCAGATAGTCAAAACAAGAGGGCGGTTTGCAAATCTCAATTCATCCAAGCTTTGCCCACCAATGAGGACAGTGCAGAAGAGTTACCAAAAGACATGGGAGCAGATCTGTCTCCAGCGTTAATCAAATCCCTTCATCCCCAGCAGTACTGCTCTGATTAACTTCTCCAAGCCCACCACAACTGATGTGTCTTGGAAAATATTTGCAAAAAGCCTGCCATTGCTCTGTAGATGCAATGAGCTCCCTGAAAGCAGCACAAGCAACGTGCTGTGGAAGCGTGGCCATGGCAGAGGCCTTGCCATGCCCTGGGAGGTGAGCTGGGGTCACTGCGGGGCGCGGGGGTTCCCTGCCTCCCCGTGAGGACACGCAACCTCAGCCCCCTCGTTTCTTGTTTGAAGCCAGCGCTGTGCTCTCAGCAGGAGCTTGCAAGTATGTTTGTCAAATCAGCACAACAAAGCCAAGAGAAAAGAAGACATCAGCAAGTCAGGGAACGATTGCAGGACATGTTTCTGTCCATACTGGGCCATCTTTGAATGATGAGCTATTTCATTCAAGCCTTTCACTTTCCACCCCAGGCTGGGTTTTTTTGCTTCTTCAAGTGCTTGCATCCATCACCACTCAGCACAGGCAAGAGTAAGGGAATATTATTCCAAGCCTACAGGTAAAAGCAAGGCTCTGAGCAGTTTGCAAGCAGCATATGCCCCAGCTCTTCATCCCCAAGTAACTTTACAGGGCGTCAGCCACACTCAAATACCAAACATTAGAGGGCTGTCCTCTTCCTGAAACCAAACAGCAACTCAACAACAGGAGCCTGCTGAATATAAACGGGGGGACCGAGCAGTCAGTGAGGTTCAAAGAAGGAGCTGCCTCCTCCAAGACATAGATTAATTGCTTGGTTAATGATAGGTATAAAATATTTATTGCGCCCTATTTATTCCTCCTTGCAGAAACCTATCATCAGTCAAAGATCCAAGAGCTGATTTTAGCATAAACAAAAGTTGAAATCAGTGTGCAAGGGATGTGTGTGTACACGTGGCTGTGTGCTTGCATACCTCAGACCGTGCCCCTACACCTGCACCCGATTTGTTCCTCTCTCTTCTCTGTGGGGTGAGACCAGAACTCTTTCATCTTCCTGAAGTCTTAAATCCTCCCTTCTCCGGGGCAATCGGTGCCCCACAGACTGGTTTTCACCAGCTGAACTCCAGGTAGCAGTAGTCAAAATTCCATTATTTTTTTTTTTGCTAATTTAAGCCAGGAAGCATTTAGCAATACCTTAAGACTCAAAGAAAGTATAGCTGTAAATACACCACGGCAGGGTGTCCAAAAAGGGCCAGGACAGAGATGCACTGAGATGTGGTGCTCCTACCAGCTAGGAAAGGCCGGGTACCCACTCTGGTGGCTGAAACAGGCAGCAAACTACAGCTGGGGCCAGGCAACGTTTTCAGTTGGATAGTATCTTTGCCAGAAAAGGATGACGATTGTATTTACCCAAATTATTTGCAAATCCACCCAGAAATTTAAGAATCCGTCTGGAAATTCTTTTTTTTTTTTTTTTTTTTTTTTTCTTTTTCCAAATACTGAATTGTCTCATTTCAGCCTTTAGGAGGCAAAACAACACAATTTCTCACTTCAAGATGAAGCTTTATTCATCAGTTTGCTTACACTTAATTTGAAAAATCCTCTTGTCCATTTTGTTCAAACCACAGGACTCTTACAAAAAAGTCCCGCAGCTCAAGTAGCAAAGCAGGGAGCAGCTGCTCACCACACTCTGCGCCCCTCTGTCCAAAACCTGCCTGGACGGGGTGGGCACCCGCCGTGCAGCATCCACCCTCTGCCCAGTTCCCGCTCACAGAGTTGCAGCAATCACAGGCACAAACCTTCTTCGCCCACTGATGGAGCCTGATGCAAGCCCATTGACAACCCATGTCCCATCTGAGCCCCCTCCTCGTTCATGCAACCCAGTGATCACAAGGGCACAAGATGAGAATCATAGAATCGCAGGTTGGAAGGGACCTCAAGGATCATCTGGTCCAACCTTTCTAGGCAAGAGCACACTCTAGACAAGATGGCCCAGCACCCTGTCCAGCTGCATCTTAGAAGTGTCCAGTGTGGTAGAGTCAACCACTCCCTGGGGAGATTATTCCAGTGGTTGACTGTTCTCATTGGGAAAAATTTCCCTCTCATGTCCCATTGGAATCTCCCCAAGAGCAACTTGTGTCCATTCCCCCTTGTACTCTCCATGTGACTCCTTGTAAAAAGGGAGTCTCCATCTTCCTTATAACTATCCTTTCAGTACTGGTACATGAGGCTGATTTGGGCCTCCCTTTTCTCCCATGCTGGTGTCCCACCTCGCTCAGTGGGAGATAACCAGGTCAGCAATTCTTCAGCCTACCTCTAACCAGACAGAAAAACCTTGGCACATGCTCCCAGAAGAGGATCTGGGCAATAACTCAACAAGCACAGCTTTGTTTCGCTTACAGCTGCAAGACGGGCAAGGACTGGCTGGGTGAGGAGCAGGGTTATAAGGAGCTCCTTAGCTCTAGGTCGCTAGTTCAGTACATGGCCAGCTTGCAAGGGGTAGGAATTCCAGACTGGCAGGTCATCTCCTTTCATTCTCTGGGCTGCTTTCTAGGAAACCTCTTATTTCAGCATTTGCTTGAGGGCTTAAAAGGAGAGGCCAAAGGCTGAGCAGACAAGGGAGAGCAAATCCGCACCTTGGAAGAGCTGCCTAGAAAAGAACATCCCTCTTGCTGGTGCTGTCCCTCTTGCATCTGCCATGACTGCCACACCGGGATGCCTGCGCTGAAACGATCTGCCCCAGCCAGGCCTGAGCTTCCCTCCACACAGCACCCGGAGGAGCTGCTACAGCAGCACACACTCAGGCTTGC